CTTGCTATTTGTTTATGAATAGAAAACGTAATAAAAATAGAACGTAATAAAATAGAAGATAAATGGTTCTATTTAAACTAAAGTCATAAATAGGTTTATTTACAACATAGATGCAAATAATATTTATACGAATATACATATAAAAAGATACAGCTGTCTCTGACTCTCAAACTTTTTTACTTCCCAGTTTCTCTTTTTACACTTTTACCATCCACGACAGAGATTTAAAAGAAATACAAGATAAAGAATGTTCTATTCCATTATGAATGCAACGAATAAAAGTAAAATTCTTTTATACCACAAGTTCCACTGAATGTACCATACTTCGTATAAAGCAAAGTCTCGGTAAATAAATCATTTCGTCTGACAACTGTTATTCATTCACCCTGTGTACCGACAACATTTCCGCGAGAGTGAAAAATTTCACAGCGAGCGAGAGAAACATTTTTCTTTGCTATGTATTAAAATTCTATGGAATCGCCTTGGGCAACGTGTTACCCGCTGGTATGAACGGGGGTCTAAACAACTTTTCTCATAAAACGCAAGGAAACAGGAAAACTGAATAGAATGAAACTATATTATCACGGTTTGATGGAAAACTTGAGTTTTAAACGCAGTTTCAGATTGCCTAGATATACTAAATTTCCTTCATTTTCAACAAGATGCGCGAGAAAAGGCGAGGAACGCGTAGAAAATGTTCAACCTCGATGAAAAATGCCGAAATTCTTTATTCTTTTCTAATACGTCTACGTTACTGGAAACCGATAGATCTTCGTTACTCGCAGTTATCGCGAAGAAATGCAGTGTATGGACTCTACGATCCATCATGCTTTTTTCTTATCTTTCTTTTCGTTTCTACATTGCACCCCGTGACTGCAAACAACAAAATTTCGTCTCTGGTCTACCGAATCGCACCACTGAACGAACAATACACACGGCTGTCTACACTTCCAATTATTCGCCATTTCTCCTTTTCTATTAGTGTTCAGGAAACGTATAATCGATAAATAGGATAATATTAAAATAATATTGTGGAATTAATATTTAAATATTGTATATACAGGACGTCACGCCGAAACCAGGCTACCCGAATTGTAAGAACCAGAACGTTCTGAGTTATTCATAAATCTTATTGCGTTTAACGTACAAAAGAGTAAAATAGTTACGCCAAGTACACGAAAAAGTAGACGACGAAGAGGACTAAAAACAGAAAAAAAAAAAAAAAATAAATAGAAGATCCCCATAAACAACTATAAGAATGTAGAAAAAAATGTGAAATCGAAATGAGCTGCCAGTACATACATATTCTCATGTTAACTATATAATGCGACAGGAAAAAAATGTGTTTACGAGTGAAAAACATCGATGAGATGCGTACATGTTTTCCTACAATTACTATTTAAGTGCCTGACGTAAACGTAAATGAATGATTTCCATTTTGAAATTCTTCTCATGCAGAAGCTCCTTGCATTTCAATTTTTTATACGTGACATTATGTAAATGTGATTGCGAAATGGCATCGTAACATTGATTATAAACGTACATTCTCATATATAATTCCTTTTATGGACCTTGATTCGTACAGCGAATAAGTTTCAGTGCGAGCAACAGAACTTTGAAGAAATATTTGTACGTATGACGAAACAAGACGTTCCCTCGGCCGTCAATTTAAAAATCCTTTCGTATTAGCAAGAACGGGCGTCCACGAAAATAAAAATGTTAACTCGCTCGATGACTTAAGCCTGACCTTCATCCTCCTGTTTATTGAATCGCCCGACCGCCTACTTTCGTGCACTCGCAATGATCTCATCTCTCAATTCCTTCTACGGTGTTTTATTCGGAGAGCTGGGAGAAATTGTTATCTGAACGAAGATTTCGAATAACGAGTAATCGTGGTAACAAATGTTTGGTGGGTTAATTATTCGATGAAAATTACTGTTAGATTGTTCATTGAAATCTACAGTGCCCGAAATTCCCACAAAGCCACCACGTTTTTTGGTAATATCTTATATTTATTCTGTACTTATGATAAATTTGTGTATGATTTCATTTTTGGCTTATTAAACACACACAAACAAACAAACAAACAAACAAACAAACAAACACACACACACACAAACACACACACACACACACACAAACACACACACACACACACACACACACACACACACACACACACACACACACACACACACACACACACACACACACACACACACACACACACACACACA